AAGAAGTTTTTTAACATCTGAAATCTCATAATCGGGTCAAATTGAAAAATCGCAAATTATACCACTGATTTTGCAATATGAAAGTGTAGAGCATTGCAAGCACTAGGTTCGCATCAAAATTTTTTATTTATCTTTTTATTTAAGTATAATGAAGGGAAATACTTATATTTTATGTTGTGTGTATTTCTTATTTTAATATGTTTAAAAATACATAATATGTGTACAATTTAATTTTTCTGATGAAAAAATAGTTATATTTTATGCTGTTTATTTTTATGTTAAGAAATATTTTTAAATGATGCAAAATACAATATACGCAAAATTGTAAATCTAAATTATTGACTTCTAATCTCTAACTCTGTATGCAGTATCGTGGGAATCGAGTTGTTTCAAAAATGTCCTAATGGAAAATAATACTGTAATTTGTCTTCAATGAAAAACCAGTTCTTTTTCCAGTTTGTAGTTTTTACAAAACGTATTTTATAAAAACAGAACTAAAAAGCAATTAAGTTTCTTACTTTTTAATACCCCCCAAGGAGTGGTGATTAGTATACTTACCATAAACTATAGTGTTAAAAATCGATTAATTTTATCTAATGAAAATGAGTATGTTTTCGTAAATTAATCTCAGTTCTAAAACTATTTTGATATATCTTTATTAGAAATAAGTGACCAGTTAAAGGGTTAAATGGAAATGTTTTATTCAAAAAGTATTATGAAACAAAATACTAACCCGACTTTCGTAAGCAAGCTTGTTCACATTCCGTCACAGTCTCGAAGTTGTTGGGGTTCCCTTCGCAACCGCCATAAATGAATTCTTCGCACTTTCCTTTGGTGTGGTCGAAGAAGTACCTGGGGAAGTGACCTCTGCAAGGTCCTTGTTTAGACGGCAGCCTGCAGATGTTTTCGGAGTTCACTTGAAATGGAAAATAACAGTTCAATTTTTGCGAGAAGATTTGTTTAAGGCAGTCGAATAATGACTGCCCATTTGATTGTCTTTTCAAAACATAACCGGCTGGATATTTTATCATTTATGTATATATTTGAGTCTATCATTAATACAAAACAAGGAGCATATAAAAATTTTTTTAAGGTATCCGACTACGTTCGGAACCATGATTTTGCAAAAGCGAATAAATGGATAATTTTCATGATATCCCATGTCACTTAGATTAGAATACATGTATACAACTGTTTTAAGCACATTTTGACAAAAAAAATTATTTAAAAACAATATTTTGGCAAAAAATTAACTTAGAATAATCTTTTTTCAAAATATTCTCCTTTTGTAAAAAATCCTTCTATTATATTAATATTTTGCCTGTATATAGCTCAGACCTCTTTTCAGAGGCTCAACAATGATGTTTGAAAAATTCACATTATTTTCAGAGTTACAACCATTTGAAATAATTATCGGCGTATTTTCTTAAAATTTCTCTCTTCTGTTTTCGTAAAACATGACAAACTTCCAAGTTATGCATTTCAAAAATTCTAGCTGAGTCTCTGTACAAAGGTCTGAGCTGAATACATGCAAAATATTAATACAATAGAAGCATTTTTTACAAAAAGAGAGCATTTGGAAAAAAGGTTATTCTAAGTTAATTTTTTGCCAAAATAATGTTTTTAAATAATTTTTTTTTTGTCAAAATGTCCTTAAAACAATTGTATACATGTATTCTAATCTAAGTGACACTAAATATCATGAAAATTATCCATTTATGCGCTTTTTTAAAATCCATGTTCCGAACGTAGTCGGATATCTTAAAATCAATACCTACTAAGGTCAACAAAGAAAAATTTTATTTTAGTTACTTTTTATTAAATAATTACAATTAATATAAATATGTATATACATATGAAATAATCACAGTATTAAAAGGCAAAACACCTTTTAAATAAACATTAAAAACTTTTTAACCGCGTTAAATTTGTAATTTTGTTTTTAAATAAAATTTAAGTATAATAGGTGAGAACTTATTTTAAAACCGGTGTACAAGGAATGTGTGTGTGTTGACGTCTAGCATATGACTATTAAAGTTAAGTTAAATCTTCATTATAAATTTAGCAAAAACTGTTCTATCCTATAGTGCTGGCATCTAGCTGAATAATATGGACTGAAATATATCTCTTAAACTATAATTAATTAATTAAATTAAATTAATTAATTAATATTTGAAAAAAATTGTATCAATTTCAAGTGTCATCCACTACAAGTTTAAAAAATGTATTTGCTCTTGATCAGAGGAATAAAAAGTATTTTATTAACGATTGAAAATTTGAATAAGATATATGAATAAATATATAGAGAAAGAGTGTGAAACTATAGTAGGAATTGAATAATAATAGTTTGAAGGAAAAAAAATAACATCTTTTCAGGAAATATTTTGTCATCTGTTTACGGTGCAGGTACATGAATGATAGTTGTACATTATAATGAAATCCTGCGCGTTTACCATCATAATCAATGAAAGTCGTACATCTCGAAGAAATTGCCCTATAAACCTTGAAATTTAAAGAATACTAAAAGAGAGAGACTCATGTTGGTAAGACAATGATCTAAATATCGGGCAGCAGTACATACGTACACACCTAACAAGCGTAATGTAACAATTCTAGAGTAAATATCTAACAAACGTAATTACCTTTTTTAGAAGCTAAATGCGACAATTTGAACATTTGGCAGACAACTACTGCGTCAGATGTATAG